TGGGGGGGTGGGGGGGGGGGGGGGGGGGGGAGTTGAAAAGGTACTTGGTAGAATATTTAATATGTATCAGCTCCTTCATTATACTGACACCTGGTAGTGCAGTTCATAAATATTTTTGTTAAAATGTAGATAGGTTGGCTATAGATTTGTTTAAGTATACGTTGAAGCCTCAACTGAATTTGGATCCCTCACTATAGGGCTTAGTCAAGGTGATGATTCCAATAAGATTTTTTCCATATTCATGACTTAAATTCGAAACCTCTAATTAAGAGTGAAACAGTCTTACCACTATATCACAATCTTATCTTAATTAGGTTGGCTATAGTTATGCATTTGTGTTGAATGCTAATTCCCTCTTTTGGATTTGTCTTCATTTGAAAATGGGGAAAAAATGGTCATACATAACTCAAATTTATTGCTCTTTGGAGTCTTCACCAAAACTGAAACTCAAAAATGTCCAATGAGCATGGCAATTCTGTCCTTAAGCATGATGCAAGTTCAAATGAATTCCATTTTGGTACTATTTGCTTATTACGAGTGTGGGGTGGGAGCACGTAGGGACGAATTTACACATGAAAAAAAGTCACGTGAATACAGGCTATTCGAGTAAATTCGATATCGTATAATTCAAAAAATATATTTATTATTATTATTTGAAAAAATTCGTAATTGAAAAAGATTGAGTGGCACACTGATTGAAAGCTAGTTTTAATTTCACTTATATTGCACCTTTCATAAGTTAATTGGTACATGTTGTCTCTTAAATCACCATCATAAATAATGTCAAATTGATATTTCATTCTTACCTTAAAAATTAATGGTGCATTCATTGTTTTGAAATTCTGAATTCGTCTCTGTTGTATATATACATGTTATAAGTTAAATTCCTTTCGAATTAAAATGAGGCAAGGGAGATAGCAAATTGGAAAAAGTTGAAAAGGAGGAGAAAAAGAAAACCTTTAAATAATCACCCCCAAAAAAAGGGTTTTTTTTTTTAAAAGAATAAGGACAAGAAAGTATATAGAATTGGCTTGTAGTGGTTGATTGAGGAATTTCATTTTGAAAGAAAGAAGAGTGTACTACTGAATTGAACCTATTTCAAGAAGAAATTTTCTTCTATAGTATGATGAGTAACTTCTTTTCACTTTTAACAGATTCAACCAAAAAAAAAAAAAACTTTTGACAGAGATAGTTGATGAAAAACAAAAGGTTTTTTTTTATTTATATATTTTCTTTCTTTTCTCTTTTTTGTAAGGCTAGGACTATGTATGTGGGTCAAATAGCAGGTCCTTGAGGACATAATTAGTGAAAAAATTTATTGTTTTCTACTATCACATCTCTGTTTAAGTACACTAAAGTTTGCAAGGGTGTTTGTACTTTTGTGGCAAAAGTTTTTAGGGGAAATATTTTTGAAAGAAAAATTGCATCTTCACAAAAAATAATTCTAATAATTTGAGTGGTAGATTAGTAAGTACTCCTTCATCTTGGTTTTGGATTTGAATCTTTCTGGGTACAGAGTCGCCTTAGTTTAATATTAACGGGACTTTCTGATGCTAATACAAATTTAATTAGGTTTCAATGTGCATATCGAACATAAGGTGAAAAAGAAAATTTTGAGAACACTCACACACCATCTTAAAAGCAAAAAATAACCGTACACATGATTTCCCTTTTTGTAGTAAAATTTACCAGAAGAAATATATATATATAAAATAAATAAATAAAAGAGAACGTTCCCTAGAAAAAACTATTCTAAAAAGTTGTCAAAATGAAAGTAAAAGTATATTGTGTTTCGGTGAAGTGAGCAAGAAAGTGTACATGAAATTAAAGTTTATAAAGATTTCAACTTTTTGTAGTTCAAAAGCACATTTTCAATAATAAAATACTGTATTAAAAGAAAATTTTACGTACTACTTTTTTTTTTAGGGGAAAGCAAACACAAATTGAACTTCAAAGCAGAAACTGTGTTTGTGTTTGAACCTACGATATAAAGTTATGATTTTAAATCAATGTTTAAAAATATAATTTGGAATAATGATTTCAAATCTCAAATTTTCAAAAAAAATATTATTCGAGTTTTCAAAAAAATTTGAATGTAAAACTTGACTCATATGTTTATATTTTGTAAAGATTCACATACCACATGAAAAAAATATATTAAAGAATAACTCGTTACTACTAGTGTTGACTAGTAGATCTTTATAAAGTTATATATATATTTAAAAGTTTGTGAATTACAAAATTTATTTATTTTTAAAAATGAAAATATGTAATTTATCAATATAGTGTCTTAAAATATTTTGATATCTTGTTTATGAATTTGTTTAAACAAAATTTCAATTTCAAATCAATCTAATTATAAATCATGATTTTATATCGTAGGTTGGAAGTTGAGGTAAACCCTAAGTTGTTATATTCGATTACATCTGTTGTTTTGTAAGTGGATTTTCCCATTTGGAAAGGTTAAGATTGAATATATGTAAATTGGTTAGTATATATCAGATGTATGCACAAGATACAGAACAATTCAGATAATGCATTCTTATACTTCTTTTGTAGTATTAGTTTTTTTTTTTTTTGTGTACTCCCTCCGTTTCAAAAAGATTGATCTGGTTTGACTTGGCACGAAGTTTAAGAAATTAAAAAAGACTTTTGAATCTTGTGGTCCTAAATTAAAGTTATGTCAAATGTACAAAATTGCCCTTAATCTTGTGGTCTTAAACATGCCACGTGGAAAGCAAAAAGAAAAATGTTACCAAAAAAGGAAAGAGGTCATTTTTTTGAAACTGACTAAAAAGGAAAGGAGGTCATTCTTTATGAAACGGAGGGAGTACTAATTATATACTACTACTAATTAATGAATTGAACTTGTACATATTAGTTCTAGTAGCATTATTGTTGTGTTATTATGAGAAACTTTAAGCTCGTCTTTTGATAAAAAAAAGTTTAGGAATCATATCGTAATGATTTATGATTTGATACCTCTTTTTGATGCAAAAGTGAGTGGCTTTACCAAAAGTAATGACATAACCTTTTATTCCTTGTCTTGTATTTTTGTCTTCAAAATTGTCTATTGTACTACACATCCCACCATGCAATTCTCCTAATGAGGCCCCTTTTAATTTGTTTTAACCTCTAACTACCCATTTTACAGTTTTTTTAAAAAAACTTTTTCACTTGTCATAATTTTTTTTACAGTCAAATGGTATAAATTTTGATTAATATTTTTAAGATATATTTTTTTATTATATTGATATGAGAAAAATTATATGAAATATCTAAATTTTAATTTTAAAATATCGAATTAATCTAACCAAGTTTAGCTTTGAAAGTTTGTTAAATTGACTCTCGAAAAATGAAACGTTACAACTATTTTGGAATGGAGGGAGGGAGTAACTATCAACCTAATATGGTCCCATATAACTTGTAATATTTGAAAGCAACACGGGACTAATTCATCTATTTTTTTGTGTGTGTGTTTTAAGGGAAGTTTTACCCCTTTTTAATCGAAAAAATACTTCTTTTAAAATATACTTTTCTAAGAGTTTTTGTATTTTTTTTCTTAAACTCACTATCTTAAAGTTTGAGGCGAAAAACGCTTATCATTCAAGAAAACCCCATTTGAAAGATATTTTTTGTTTTTTTGTTTTTGCCAATAGTTCAATAAGGAATAACAAATTTGCAACTGATAAGATCTGGTGTAACTTGTAAGTCATTGGAATTTGAACAACATGACAGTTGAAACATTTTGAATTTAAACTAGTATTTTTTTACTGTCAAATCAATTTTTGAACAATTTTAAAAGGATAACTACTTAGACTGAAGCAAGCTTCAATATTATACATATATTCAACAGAATCAACAGATTTAGTCCAATTTTATATTCATATTAAAATATTCACTAAATATATATATATATAAAAAAAATTATACATATTTTAAAGAACTCATATAACCGTGGGAAGGTCTATTAAAAGGGACAAACTAATTAGTCAATTAGGTAAGAGTCCTTCAAGTCTTAAAAATTGGGTAGAAGTGACAAATAGTATTAATTATGTTAATAGATGTTTTTTCAATAGTCCCAAACTTTTAACTTTTACACTTTAGTCCAACAACTGTCGTAGTTATAGGGACAACTTCAATAGTTGTCCAGTTTAGTTTTTTTATTAATATTAAAAATAAAAAAGTAGAGAAAAAAGTAATGGGGCCTACTTATCCTTTTTTCACTTTTATCTCATTTTTTTCGAATTAATAGGATGTGTTGATGTGACTAACCTCGAAAAAAGATTAAAAGAAAGCAATTTAATATGAGTTGTTTATTGAGATATAGTAATAGTAATTACATTAGAAAAAGTAAAAGCAACAACTCCTATTATAGTTTTATCACTACACTTAATTTGCCTTTTTGCAAGTAGAATGAGTCCAACAATGACTAATAATATTGGTCCCCATGACCCTTAAAAATGAATGGCATCTCATCACGTGAATTACCCCATGTGACCCAAGTCAGACCTTGTTTCTTTTTTCAATCATCACACAGTATCATGCACCACTTCTTCCATAATCTCACGTTCAATCTCACACACTATACTTTCCACTTGTTCCTCAAAAAATACACTTGCACCAATTTCCATATCTTTGTCTATCAATGCATCAATATCTTCAAGAACTTGACAATTAGCTGAAGGAAAACTTCGTATTCTCGAGCACAATGTGTCAATCAATTCCTCCCCATCCATCGATCGATGCTTGAAATTGTTATTTTTCATCAAGATATCGACCAGTAGCTCGTCGACAAGATGGAAAATTAACTTTCGATTGCATTTGAGGGTTAAATTATGTGTGGTAGAATTGAAAAGTTCTAAGTAGTGAAAAATGGAGGGGTCAAGTGGGTGAGAAGGAGAGTACCATTTGGCTAAGGAGATTGGAGTAGTTTTGTCAAGACCCGTACGTTTTAGTATTCTCTGAATGTACTGATGATGAAAATTGAGTCCATCAATGGAAATGACACCGTTACATTTGTCGCGGTTTTCTTGGAGTGTGGTGAGTTTGTAGTAGTACGAATTATTATGGCTCGAACTACTAGATAACTCTCTGCTGCTCCTTTTCGATGGATAAGTATCTGATTCCTGAGACTGTCGCACAAACAAACATGACCAAATTTACTCATCTTTCAAATACAAATATTTAACTGCTGTTTGACCATAGATATTCAAAATTTTCAAGTTCCATAAACTGGGCACAAAAGTTCAAACAAAATACAACTCAGTTTTTCAAATTTCAAATATAAAAATCTATTGTCAAACAGGAGCTTGTTTGTAGTTTTTCACATATTTAGATATGAAAGTAAAACTATTATAAGTCATAATGATTAATAATTCAAATTATTTTGAAAAAAACTTGCTAATTTTTTAATGTTTAAATAGTGATAATGCCATGTAAAGTAAAAGTGGAACAGAGAGAATACTTGATATTGAAGTAAAGAACATTAATATTAATTTAGTACCTGCTTAATGAGTAACTTGGTGGTTGGAGGAGACGGGTCTTTCCTTAATGGCAAAATAGTTGGAACAGTACTGGTGTTAACAAGTTGATTTGACAATGGAGTTTTCAGCTTGCATTTCTTCTCCGCAAAATTTGCTTTATTTGTTGCTGCTGCTGAACGAACAAATAGCTCTTCCTTCTTGCTCCGAATAGCATCACAAGCTTGCGGTGGCTTCTTTGGAACAAATTTGTCACCTTTTCTTTGTTGCACTTGATCTTTCGGCGAACTTTGAGGCTTAGGCTTAGTGACAATTTTTGCTGGTAATAATAAAGTGGTAGTCTCTGAAAGCGGAGATAATGGTGAAAATTTGGGTGAATGAGAGGTTTGATGTTTAGTACCAGTACTCTTGGGCTCCAAAAATCTGAACCTAGGTGAGCAAGAAGGAGTTGTTTGTTTGCTTGGTCTAAAATCATCGTCATTTCCATTTGATGCTTTTTTTGGTTTGAGCAACACAACTTGATCATATTTAGCAGCTAATTGATCATCTTTTCTCCTGATACTAGTACTAGCAGTGTTGGTAATGTCATGACCAACTTTTCTGCTGACGCTTTCTTTCACTTGCTTCACAATCTGCCTAGCATAGTACCCTGGACTTCTCGTTTGGTTATCATTTTCTTGTTGATAAAAACTCATCCTATTGTTCCTCGCCATTTTCCTACTGACACTGGTAGTAGAAGAAGAATCTGAAAATTCAAATGCATCACCCATGTTCTCTTTGTTAATTTGAAGAGATAACCTGTGATGCTGGTGGCGTTGATGATGATCTACATCTGACCTTCTGGCTAAAGATATTCTGGGCGTCTCTGGTAGTGACAGAGTACCTGTAGTGATATAATTAGTATCACTACTTTCAAAGCTACTGAATCGTCTTCTGTTTTTACTGCTATTATTATTGTTAACCAACACATTCTTTGACTGTGACTTTGTATTGCAATTAGTTGAAATTGAAATGCGAGGAGAGTTATTGTTTTCAGGGATGAGATCAAGGCCCATTAGCCTAGCTACTAGAGTTGGGGTCTTGGTCCCCGCTGGTGAGCTGCTGCTACATTCTGATGATATATCATGATCTGTCCTTGTTCTTGATCCGCCTGATGTTGACACTCGCGGTGATCTCGAATCACAGCTTGTTCTGATTTGAATACCTACCTGAAATATAAAATACACAAACCATCTCTATTTTCAAATAAAATTTGTGTCTAATATTCAACTTTCAAAGAACATGTATTCTTACCCCACCCCCACCCCCACCCCCACTCCAAACAAACAAACAAACAAAAAAGTATCCTCTCTCTCTCTACAACATTGGGAAGTGAAAAGCTTATTATAATAATATTTGAAAGAAGATAATGAAGGTAACGGTTACAATTAGACTAACCGGGATATTCAAATTTTGTTCGTCTACTTTCATGGTTGATGAAGACGACAATGAACTTGATACTGATTTCCGTTCTGGAACAGGCTCATCTAATTCCAAGCTGTTTCTTGGTGCTTCAACTCCTGCATTTATCAATAAAAGTTGAAATTAATCAACAAACTAGAGAAAAGAGTTGGGGTGATTTCAGTGACCAGATTTATTGAACCAACTTTTATCAGAAAACATCATAAATATATATTCCGAGTAAAATTTCTAGATTTGTTACGAGTGATTTTGTTGAGAGTTACCTTTGAGGAGAGAAGGTTCTTTGTGTTGTTGAAAGAAAGAAGGATGATGATGATGATGTTGCTTGAGAGAGCGAGATTGTTGGTTCAAAGCTACTTGAAAATGGGGTAAATCGAAGATTTGGAAACACATGCAGCCACCAGGAGGAGGTGTAGCTTCTTCATTAATAATATTATTGATGACTTCTTCTCCTTTTGTTTTTCTTCTACTTCCTCTTTGAGTACTGGATTTATTACTAGTACCACTGCCACTGCCCCAGTATAACCACTCTCTACCCATTTGTGTGAGAGTTTTTTTTCTTTTCAAAAAGCTGGATGCACACAAGTAACAGAAACAAATACGAATGAAAATGACAAAACTAGTATAGTAATAAGTCATTACTGAAGAACAAGAAGCGGAAAATGCGGATCCATGAAAGGGATGATTTGAGTATACCTTTTGATTCTAGTGAAGAAAAATTTGCTTTTTATCTGTATTTCTCGTCCTGTGCCCCTCTCTTTGTACTTACACTTGCAGTAGTCACTCACTCCCAAGCAAGTAAGAAATAGCAGGAGGAGGAGAAGACCAAAGACCAGAAAACTAACTCTATCTAGTCTTGGGAATAGAAATTTGAAGAGATTGCAATAATAAAGGTTTCTCTTTCTCTCTCTAGTAGTAGTGTTGGGTGAAGTGATCGATATGCGCTATAACGAGGCAATGGCCACTATTCTTCACTTGCGCTTTGTGGGGTTTTTAAATACCCGAGGTCATGTGGTTTATTGGGGATCTGCATCTAATCTAATACTCCCTCTACCTTCACTCTTCTTTTTCAAATCATGACGTACTTTATTTATTCCCTCCTCTTCTCCTAACCATGGTTAACACCCCCACCACCTCACTACTAGTACTAGGTGACCTCCTATTTTTAAGTTTATTTCTCATTGTGGTTCACTATTGATTTTGCATATTTCTTAATAAATTATAAATAAAAGGGTAGTTTTATTTTATCGCCCTTTAAATATTAATAAATATATTATCTTGAAAAATGACTATAATTAATAATAAAGGTAAATTAGGAATCAAGTGGAAATTATCCATTAATTTCGTAAAGTCGACAAGTCTTGTTAGATATCCCAAAATAGTAGAGTGGACATCTATTGTTGGACGGAGGGTGTACTAAAACGAAGTGAAGGGAGTATATATAACACTCTTTTCATTTCAATGTGTTTGTCTAATTTTTGACTTGATACGAAGTTGAAAATAAAAAAGACTTTTGAATGTGATTTTAGACTAAAATTATGTAGAATGTATCAAAATATTTTTAATCTTGTGATTATAAACATATTATAAAAGTTGAAATTAAAAAATGATAAAAAAAAAAATCTATCTTTCTTTTTAAAACAAAAAGTTAGACAAGTAACTTGAAATTGTTGGAGTAATAATTTTAGAGGAAAAAATATGTATGATATCAATATAATTTTAAAAACACACTTCCATTGTAACTAATTGGACGAACTAAAAATATATATTCTATTACATCCGGGAAGGAACCGAGATGAGAAAAGAGATAGGGGATGTCATATGCTACTTGCTTGTTCACTTTTATTTATTTATATTTTGAACTTCATAAGTTACCTGAGAAATAATGAATAGTATAAATAGTTTATCATAATACTTCTTTCGTTCACTTTTAATTGCATTGTTTCCATTTTTAAAGTTAAATTATAAGAACATTGATAAATATTTTATAATATATTTTTCATCATATTAATATATAAAAGATTGTAATTTATAGTACTTTTCATAAGTTTTTGATTATTCATTCAAATATTGATAAGTGTATTTTAAATTTATTATATATACATATTTAATAAATTTATTAACATAAATAAATTATTTGAACAAAAGCTAAATATGCCCTGCCTACGCTTCAATTGTGAAAGGGATGGAGCAGATATGTTTTTTTTTTTTGTGCTATATGAACATGTATTGAGATTTTGATTATTCAAATTTGCATAGTCTAAAATTTATTTAAAAGGAGACAATGATCACGAATAGGATTTGTTTTCATCCGAAATATTAATACTAAAAAAATACAACAAATTATATTATTCTATCATAATTCTTATTAATTAGTATTCCTTCCGTTTCAAAAAGAATGACCTCCTTTCATTTTTAGTCTGTTTAAAAAAGAATGACCTCTTTCCCTTTTTGAAAACGTTTTAATTTCAGCTTTTCACGGGGCATGTTTAAGGCCACAAGATTAAAGGACAATTTTATACATTTAACACAACTTTAATTTAAGACCACAAAATTTAAAAATCTTCTTTATTTTCTTAAACTTAGTGTCAAATTAAAGTAGGTCATTCTTTGTGAAACGGAAGGAGTAATAGTTATTTAGAATAATTATTGGATAGCTATGTGGGGAAGGGGAATTTTGTCTCTTACAACAACTAGCATGAATATAATTTTTGAGGTTACTTATGTGAGACATACTATTAAAAGTTGCCTATTTTTTTTTTGATAAACAAAAGTTGCCTATTATAATAATGTAGGTTGTCATTTTTATCTAGTGAGGTAAAAAATCTACACTATCATTGTCAAAATTCAAACTCTATAAATCATTTTCTTTGAATAATAATCCAAATTCCAAACCTTAAATAGACAAAGGATGATACATCGTCTACTTGGGCGTATAGTTTTCGAGTACTCTGCATAATAGTGACGTAGTATAAAATTGCCAGTATGATAACAAGTATACACTGTTCTTTTCAGAATATTCAACAAAATAAATCTAAGAAATTCTGGCAACTATCTCTTAAATTTAAAATTGAATTTCTACACTTGTCACAAATAATATAAACTTTTATTTTTTACTATAGTTATAATTATAAATTCTAGAAAGTTAAATAAAGTGAAAAAGAAAAACCTACTTATCTTATCTACACTTGATGATATTTAATGCTACATTATTTTGAAAAAGTTTAATTTCAAGAAATGGGACCAAAAGTACTTATGGGACATGAGATACGGACTACTTATTAAATTTTTCGAATTGAATAAGAGAATTAATAAATAATTAAAATGCTATTCATAATTAACCACGTAATATTTCCCCCCTTCCCATGCTATATAATCATTATAATCATTTACTCCAACTTGTAGAGTTTGCCATGAATGCTCTCTGCTAAGCAAATACATGTTGAATAAAATTCATAATAATTGTGTCAAGGAACAAAGAGAAAACATAATTAACGGCGTGCATAACATGTTTGTAATTGTGATCAAGATAAAAGATAATCGCATTGATAGAAAAGCCTGCGTAACAAAAATATGAATTTCTTTAAAAGTGAATAAGATATTTACACCTGAATCTAAATAACGATTTAGTCATTTTTTGTTAATTTTATTTCAACACATAAGGCATATATTTTATATAAATATTTATTCATGTGAATACTATTTTATTTTTTACTTATTATTAATGGTAAATTTTATTTGATTTAATCAAAATTATGAGAGGAAGATAAATATTTTCGTCACGTTACTCCCACAAAATGTATAGTAAATTATGAATATATAGATTAAACTGACACGTTTGCATGTGAGATTCCCGACAATTACTAACTTTTATAATGACAAAAGTGTCCCAGTCACAATGATGGGCCACGGCCCACAAGTTGCGAAGACTACTGATGTGGTGCGGCTTATTCTGGGCCTCTTTGGGCTTCTACTAGTACTCCCTCTGTCCCATTTTATATGACTTACTTTCCTTTTTAGTCAGTCCCAAAAAGAATGACACATTTCTATTTTAAGTAACAATTTGCCTATAAAATGCTTTTTACCCTTAATGAAATGATTTACAACCACACAAATTTCTATCATTCATTTTGGACCACAAGTTTTAAAAGTCTTTCTATTTTTCTTAAAGTTTGTGCCAAATCAAAGTACATCATATAAAATGGGACGGAGGGAGTAGTAAACTTCCAAAAGGTCCCACTTAGGACCACAGCCACGTGTTTCAACACTTCTTTCATAAATGCGCTCCTCCCAATTATCACCGCCTTGAAATAGAATAGAGGAGTGTTAATAGGCCCGTGCGAATTTATAGGCAGTATAGTCTCTTCGTAAAATTAGAGATATTTTATGTATATATTTTTTTTCTATATGAGTATATTTTAAATTGTTGATTCACATTCTTCAAGAAGATTATTTGATATATTTGATTAATTGTTAAGTTATTTAACTATAGGCATATATATCAAATTCTAGATATATATTTAAAGTTGAACACTTTTGACATAAGCTATGTCTTTGGTGAAGTGGCAATAGGTATCCAATTGAATGAAAGAATTCAAGGTTTGAACCCCAAATAGCACAATATTTTTTTGTTTTATTTTGACAGTCACACACCATTATTCTTGGACAGCTTTAATAAAATTTCTGATTCCGTCACTGTCGATAGGATTCTTAGGGATTAATTCACACTAAATACATTTTTTTATTTGGTTTGTGGTACATCTATGTTTTTAGAATTGCTTTTGGATGGAAGTTACTATGAATTCAACAAAATATAATAGGTTTATTTCAAACTCTAGATTCATAGTAAGGAATTCACTTAATTTTTATGAACAAGTTGATCAAAAACTTGTGATTCAAATGCCATAAATTTAAAAATTCTTGATAACATTCTAGATCTTCCTTTAAACCGTACCATCAAGAAGAAAGATTAAGATAATTTCTATCATTAGGTTTTGAATTTAAGGTTAAGATCTAGCTTCTTTTTTCAGTAAAGTTGAACTCGTCGGATCTGTTGTCGGTGACGTGAGTGATCCTTCATCATGCCCTTCCTATTGCTATTAAATTGGAATATAGGATACGCACAAAGAAAAGCTTCATTCGTTGGTTATGAAAACGTTCCCCTCAAGATGTTCACTATTTTATTATCCGACGAGTTAAGTCATGTTTATATGACTATAATTTTTAAGTAATTATCAAAAGATTTAAAATATGGAAGTTGAGATTTTCTATACTTTTTAGATGGTTTTTGAAACATATCAATTTTATTTTTAGAATTATAAAATTGATTTCAAAATTCAATACTATAAATTCGATGCATTGTTCTCATATTTTAACGACAAATTACTATATAGTATATACCCCACTTTCAATGAAACGCAAGTACGTAGTACAAATACCATCACTAGCCCACTCTCCATTGTATCCTCCTTTTCGACAGCAACTTAACGATGTGTACCAAATTCATCACAGAAGAACAATATTGATTTGAAATGTTTTTTATCCTTTTTTTTATGACAAATCTGGAATAAATAGTTTTTGGTGTAAAATTTTACTGGTACCTATTTATAATCCTTTCAGGAATAATTAGCTCTGCAGCTTCAACATGTGCCATAGGATGTTCTTGTACTATTGGATAAGAGTATAAGGTGTCCACAATTATCTCTTATATATACATTATTTTTTGAAAAATATAAAGGTCGATGATTAAGATAGATAATTAACAATTAGGTAGTCAAGTGATTTCTTCCTTCAATATAGGAGAGCATGGTTCTAGCTTATTAGAGCACTATGTTTTTTGTCTATTTATTAATATTATTATTGTTAAATTATGTGTATTCTATAATCATATTACCATTAATGTTGTTACTCTTACTTGGATTTTTTTTGTTGTGATCAATATTTTTTTTTCTACCGTATTTTCATCATAGCTTTTATTTTTATATTTGTTTAACCTATTCTTAAAATATTTTTCCTGAACTGAGGGTCTATTGATCGTAACCAAC